ATCTGACAGCGTATGCTGTTCTGACAGAACACCATCACTCTGTTTACAAGCTTTATGGAGACCCTTACTACATTTTGTTGGCTTGGCAGCACTTAACAGTTACAATAACAACAAAAATAAACCAAAAAACTGCTAGCTGGCTCAAAGAGGATGGTACTACTGTAGTCGCCTGACCCAAACCCTATAGAGAATGTTAAAGAACACAATGACACCTCTTTTTTAACAATTGAGACAAGCTAAAGACCGCTATTAAAGCAATGTGGATGTTCTTCACATCTCAGGAGTTCTGCAGAACTATTTCTATGAAGGACGAGCTATAAAATGGCCCATACAAGTGGATACCTTCCTGTAGACATTTCTTATATTTCTGCATTAGTCTTTCTTATTTTTTTTCAAATTCCAAGAAAAGTTTTTTTTTTTTTTTTTTTATCTTTATGTTGTAATAATTTATATAAAATAAAATAAAAAATAGATCATTTTGTGTTTGTGTGAAATAAACGGATTTGTAGTGAAAAATTTGGCAAATGGTGGAAACCCTCAGCAGCCTTTATCTGGTTTCAGCACACATTCCTTCCACGTTTCCCGTCAGCCGCTCTGCTTCCCATCAAAAATTTTCCACACTTCCATCACCAGCTGCTGACTGTAGTTCCTGATAATTTCCCTCAGGCTCAGATTCGTCTCTGAGCGGCGTCCTGTTCTCACCTTCAGGTAGGAGCCGAAGTACTTGGTGATGTACGGACTGTCGCACTGACTGAGCACCGTGATCTCCTGCTGGATGTCCTCGATCTCATCCTCGGCCTCCTCCAGGTCGATGGTCTTGATGGCGACGACGCTCTGAGTGCGATTATCGATGCCTTTGAAAACCTGCAGGAGAAAACAAAGACAATGAGAAGAGAAGGGGAAAAAAAAGAAAGGAGCAGGAACTTCTACCAGAAACTGGTTTTTGTTAAAGTTCTGAAGTAAAAGACAAAAAAAGAAGGGTAAACTGTAAAAAGGAAATATGATAATTGTGAAAAAAAGAAAAAACTCACCTCTCCAAATGATCCCTTCCCGATTCGATCCAGTTTAGTGAACAGCTCCTCTGGATCAACTTGGGTATTCTGGAAGGAGATAAAAAGAGAAAATGTGATGAAGCTCCTCTGACAAAACCACAATCTCTGCTAAAGGGTGGATTAGAGTTCTGCAACCGCACACATCAACTGTTGCTTGCGTATGGTCGCGAACCAGTTTTGCATGTATGCTTCTGCAACGTCGGTCTGGAATTTCTAGCGCAAGGGGGGGCCTATAAG